GTGTGTTCATTTGTTCACCTACTTTTTTTTATAACAACTTGCTTATTAGTAGAGCGAAAGACAGCTCAAGTCCTCCAGCTGAGTAATGCCAGTGGTAAAATGCACACACAAGGAATTTCTGACCAGTTATTGCAAAGAGGTGAAGATGATACAGCTTCTTTCTCTTCCCCACAACTTAAGCTGGAAGATAATTATGTCACTGCTATACAGGCAGTAAACAGGCTGCAGTAATTACAAGTTCAGGATTCCTCAAAGTCAAAAGACATGCACCACTCGCTGAAGTAGGCAGTGGTAAACACCAGTCTGTTTCCCTTTAAAGTGGTACCACGGCATCACTTTGACAGGAAAGCCCGTGATGTGTTTTCAGAGCATTGCTTTCAGGATCAAAGTGCTCTTGCTGGTGTAAATAAGGCTTGCAAGTCTTTCTGCACTTCTTTTATTATCTGTGCAAAAGGGGTCTGATTTTCTCGCCCCAAACATCCTGCAGTAAGTTAAAAATGGGCTTGCTTTTTTATGGCTCCAGTGAAGCTTTGGTTTGGAAAGCCTTTATGTGATTCTTGAGCACCCTTCTCAAGGGCAGGAAAATTCTGCACCACTCAGGGAGATAGACAATCTGTTGGCATGCAGTGAGTCCATGTGAAATTTACAAGGAAAGCTGAACAGACTGCTCACACACATCTATACATCTGCATCATCTCAGTTTTTCTGCACCTCATGGGCCAGACAGCTTGGTTCACCAGGTACCCTTAGCTGCTGCTCCTTGTTGGTGCTGCTTTCTCCTGATGGTTGCCACTTCCCTCCCCCCCCCCATCTCCAGAAAGGTGCCTCAGGTGGGTATTCAAAGCAACCTGCATTGGTGCCCAAATGAACTGTTTTGCTTTTTAAAAACATTGTGCATGCACAGGGATCAGGGGCAGGAGTTGGAAGGGGAGGGTTAAACATTATTTTCAGAAAACCTGGACATTTTCCTGGATTTGCAGAAGTTCAGCCATAGCTGCCTTGACCCTTCTGTATGGATTTTGCTATCTAAACAAGACCCAGTCCTTTGAGGATTACATATAGCAGTACCACTTATGTAATAATGGCTTTGAGGTTATTCCCCAAGCTTGTAAGGAGCTGAGTTTAGAAGGCCTTCTTTCTTTTTATATAGCTTCATAGCAGGATTTGATAAAAATTTGCCTGAATGTTCATTATTAAAGCATATCCTAACTGATACTGAAGTATATACTGAGTACGGTTACAGTCTGTTTCCCGATTCCTGGACATTAGAAAGAAATGCAGAAAGAAATGGTAGAGAGGAAAGGTTAGACCATATGCTTCAGACTGCTTCTGTTCCATTAACATGCTGACTTCTTTTGAGAGTGGGCTGAGGCTGTTTGGGAGAGAGGAGGAAGTGAACTTTAAGCTGAAAGCATTATAAGAATCAGATGAAAAGTTATAGGGCAGAGCTGGATGTGAATTGTGCATGAATAGGAAGAGATTACCAAAGTTTTATTTATTTTTATTTCATTTACTTTATATTCTCACTGAGGATCAAGGCAGATAACATGCTTTGAGACATGCATGTAAAGGAGGTGGAGGAAGGGTTGTGCAAGTGTCTGTGAAGTGTTATCAAGTCACAGCTAACTTACGGTAGTGGCCGCACAGAGTTTTCAAGGAGGATTACATATAGCAGTACCACTTATGTAATAATGGCTTTGAGGTGATTCCCCAAGCTTGCAAGGAGCTGAGTTTAGAACGCCTTCTTTCTGTTTATATAGCTTCATAGCAGGATTTCATCAAAATTTGATCAAAAAATATTTGCCTGGAGGTTCATTATTAAAGCATATCCTAACTGATACTGAAGTATATACTGATTGAGTACGGTTACAGTCTGTTTCCTGATTCCTGGACATTAAAAAGAAATGCAGAAAGAAATAATAGAGAGGAAAGGTTAGACCATATGCTTCAACATGGCCTTGCCTGTGCCCAGCAAGTGAGGGGCAGAAGGGATACAAGACCTTTGGGTTGTGCAAAGAGCTTGGTAGCAGAACTCCGTTTCCTTCTTCCACAGCTGAGAATATGGTAACTTGCCCTCTAGGAATTAGCAGCCAGAAATACTCCTGAATAATTTCTGTAGAATTGTATGTATTCAGCTGCTGGAGACTGATAGTGTTAAGAGGGAAAAAAGCAGAAGAATATGCTGCGTTTCTCTGTCACCGTATGCCCAACTTGCAGGGCACCCTGACGCTGTCATTTGAAAACCAAGCAAAACAAAAAGGTCTTGGGAGCTTCCAAAAATGTCTGGACACTGTTGCAACTCCAAGTTGAAGGAATTCTTGCAACTCCAAGTTGATGGCACCTGGTATTCTTGGCCACCGTGTGACAGAGTGTTGGACTAGATGGGCCATTGGCCTGATCCAACATTGGCTTCTCTTGTGTTCTTATGAATTCCAGTGTAAACTTTGCCTCTGTTTTCAGCCTGCTGGAGCATCTCTGTGAGCTGTTTTGTTTATATTTCAAGTATCCTTGTCATACTGAAAGTTTTCCTGCAATAATGACGTTTTGCAGTCAACATGTTTGACTATCTTTTTTGTATATACTGTGAACCATGAACCAGAAATTAGAGACAGTCTTTAAAAGGAAAAGTCTTTAAAGGCAGGTTTATATGGGACAGAATTGCACATATCTTTTTCATCCTTTCTAATACCTGGAGCTTTTTTGATGTATGTTTTTCAGAACCAGTTCATATATTACTTGTGTAACATGATTGCTGCTGAAAGACTCTCCCCCATCACATTGGCATGGGATACATAAGTTTGTGTGATGTAGCAAGATCTCATAATAGGATCCCCACCACCAGACAAACAAAACTGAAAAAGTCTTCACCTCTTGTCAGAAGAATATCCTTGGGAAGGGAGTTCCACAGCTTCAGTGCTGTGACTGAGAAGGCCCATTTTTGGGGTGGCACCTGTCTAACCTCAGATGGTGGCAGCACCCCAGGCAGAGCCTCTGAAGATGACCAGAGTAGAACGGAGGTTCATATGGAAGTAGACAGTCCTTAAAATATGCTTGCCCCAAGCTGTATAGGGCTTTAAAGGCCAAACCACCACCCTGGAGCAAATTGGAAGCCAGTGTAGGTGGAACAAGACTGGAGTGATATGGTCTCTGTGGGTGCGTTCAGACGGGCCGTTTAGTCCGCTTTCGGCACGCTTCAGTAACGGATTTTATATCCACGTTCACACACCCAACATCTGCGCACTGCCCCCAGCCGTCGCTTTCCGGCTCAAACCCCCTTTAAAATGGAGTATGTTGTTACCAGGTCCCCAAGTGGTGTTTTCCTGATTCTCCGGTTCTAGCCACACTTTTCTGACGTCTGATCGCTCTTGCGGTGTTGAGCCACTTCCGGTGTAAACCCCCTCCTTGCTCGAAAGCTGCCCGAGGCTTCTGCTTTTTGCCCGCCATTTTTTTAATGCATTGGCGGTGTACACATAGGCGGAGCTCCGCCATCGCGTTGAGAAAGCTGACATTTAAACGGTCACTTGTTTTAGCATTTAGATGAGTTTGGGATCTCACGGAGGCCATTTTTGGGTCAAACATTTAAAGGGGAGTCTTTTGTTGGAGGGGTTGGATTGATTCGCCCTGGTGGTTCTGCGCATGTGCCATGATAGTCTCCCCCCCTTCTACGGAGGGGCGCCTATCCGCATGCGCAAACTGAGGAATTTTTTTTAAAAAACCCGCCGACACAAGCTCCCGTGCATCAGTAGTGTAGACGCTGGGGAGCAATGAGACTGCGCGGTGAGGCAGGATAATCCAGATCAAATATAATCCGGTTAGAACTGGAGCAGTTTAACCTGCTCTCAGCACGCCATCTGACCGCACCCTATGACTCACTGTAGACAGCATTCTAACAGGAACGTTCTATACCAATTGTAGTTTCTGTACGCTCTTCAAGGGGAGCCCCATATAAAGCACATTGCAGCAGGCTAATCTAGAGGTCCTCAGGGGATGCACCACAAAGATTTTTTTTTGCCACTGCTGGTAAAAGGCACCCCTGGCCACCTTCACTACCTGTTTATCCAACAGGAATCCTGGGTCAGCAGTACCCCCAAGCTATGGACATTCTGCATTAGGGGGAATGTAACCCCATCCAGAACAGAAGTCACTCTCTTCCTGGGTCAATTCTTCTTTGCACTGTTGTGCATGCCTAATAAGCAGATTTTGCCCCCTGTTCAGAATAACATCAGAACATCGCACATGCGCGCGTGCATACACACACTCTTATTCCCACTTCTAGAGACATAATTTCTCAGCCTCGCGATCGTACTAATTCAATCCGTATTGTGCTAGGCTGCCACTAGTGGAGGCAGTCATTATGTGACTTCTGGCTTTTGGAGAATGCTGATGAAATCAGCACTACTCT